CCTCACCTTTCACATAGTCTTCAAGACCTTGATGACCTGGCCCCTTCCCACCTATCATTTTTCGTCTCTGACATTGAAGATGAATTTTTGGAAGTTCCAGAAGTTCCTGGAAGTTCCTGTGGTCTCTCTTGCCTGCCATTCCTTGTGTTTGGAATGTGAGATGGTTAATATGCCAGGACTCCGAGTTCAAATCCTGACTCTATCACTTACCAGCTGTGTGAATGTGGGCTAGTTGCTTAATCTCTGTGAGCCTCAGTGCCTCATTTGAAAACCAGGCTTCATAAGTACTTGCTTAAGAGTCGTAAGGATCAAATGAGATAACTTACATAAAGCTTATAGCACAGTGCTTGGCACACAAGATTTGCAATACAGTCATGCTCCGCATAATGAAGTTTAGGTCAAGGATGGACTGCAGATACACTGTGGTCCCATAAGATTATGATGGAGCTGAAAATTACTATTGCCTGGTGACGTCGTAGCCATCCTAATGTCATAGTGCAATGCATTACTTGTGTTTGTGGTGATGCTTGTATAAACAAACCTATTGAGCTGCCAGTTATATAAGTACAGTTGACCCTTGAACAACACATGGATTAGGGAGCGCCCTCCTCGCAGTTGAAAATCTGCACATAACTTTTGACTTCCTAAAAACTTAAGTCGACTCTCAGTAGCCACAGGGGATTGGTTCCAGGACCCCCTGTTTATACCAAAATGCTGGTGTTCAGGTCCCTTATTTAAAATGGAAGAACAATCCATACAGCCGCCTCTCTGCACCTGTGGATTGGTTCTGTCCACAGATGTGGATAGGGATATGGAAGACTTTATATTTATTGAAAAGATCCACATATAAGTAGACTTTTGTGGTTTAAACCCATGTTGTTCAACAGTCAGCTGTATAGCACATACGATTATGTACAGTACATAATAATAATTATGTTACTGGTTTTTATATTTATTATACTGTACTTATTATTATTGTAGAGTGTACTCTGTTCTTGTTTTTTAAAAATTTGCTGTAAAACAGTATACTGTTACACCAGCAGCAGCTTCATCTCTTATTTTGTCTCTTGGTTGCATTGTTTTCTCTTGTGCTTGATTTTGTTTAATTTATTTTATTATAATGATATATAAGTTTATTATAAGTAGAGATTTGCTAATTGAATATACTTTTAACTTTCAAATTTTGATGCAATTGGAGCATCACACCTTGGCTCATCCTGGAGTTCTGCTGCTTGTTTTTTGTCAGTAGAGATGCAGCAAAACCTTGGACAAAGAAATCATCAACGTTATAGTAAAACAGATAAGGAAATCTCTTATTTTTAGGAAAGAAGCTGAGAAAAGAAGAGGAACTTGTTCTCCACACTGCTGTCGTGTGGAATGTAGTAGAATTTTATTTGACCTCTTGTCTTTAGTAGTATCTACTACTTCACTTTTTGCTTCCTGTAAAGGGAAGGTTTGCCCAGATGCAGGCAAGCCATTTAACTTCTTGAGATAGAGGTGAAAAGCAAAGGGAGCCTAAGGGACACTCTGAAGACCTCATTAGCCTGCTGGAGACCTGGGTGTAGCAGGGATCCAGGTTGCAGCCCTGGGCCAGGACACACTTGGTTTGCATCCTGTAGGAAAGCAGTCTGACTGTCTCTGCTGGAGACTTGTGCAACTTTGGTCACTCTGGGCCTTGGGATCTTCATCTAGACAATGAGAACTGTGTTGTCCAACGTCACTTTCATTTCTAAAGTTCTTTGAACTTCTTTCCAGTTTCATGTCCTGACTGTGCCATCTTGTGATTTTTCCAGGAGTGGGAACATCACTCTTAGCACAGACATTTTTGGAGCCAAGATTTTGAACAGCATGAATACCTCTGTGTCTACAGAAATGTCAGTAAGCTGAGACTTTAGAGAGTTTTCTTAATCTTTCTATTGAGTGGTTTTTTAAAAATAATTTTGAGAGATCAGAAGCTGACTGGCAATATAATTATAGCTTTTATAGCCAGACAATCCAGCTTTTATATTATAGCTTCCGTTCAGTAAGGCTAAGGCATTTCTAAGTTTTATTTCCTTGCTTTTTGCCTAGAACCTCTTCTTCAAACAGGATGTCATACAGAAAAGCACAAATGCAAAACGGCTAAAAGCAGAGTTGTTCCTTTGTTTACCACCTCCAAAAGAGGCTCCTCAGAACAGTTATAGGTCCTGGAGGTACCCCAAAGCAGCTATTTGTATAAATGGAGAAACTCGGGAGTCCAGAGACAGGAAGTGATTTATCTAAGAGTTAGGGTCAGATTCTGATTATTTTTCTGCTAAATTTTGTTTTGGTGCTCATTTTACTACCCTCCACTGAGTTACACAACTTGATATCTTCCTTAACTGTTTGATTAATTTTTAAAAATATTACAATGCAATGCAAAGCCCAAAAAAGGCCCCTGCCTTTTTTTTTTCCCTCCCTATTTTAAGGGGGGAAGGGGAGGAAGTTCCATCCCTGACCTTTCTTTCTTTAAGACTTTTTGCATCTCCTGTTCCTCTTCTTTAGGGGTTCTTACCACCTCTGTAAATCACCATTGTTTTTAAAGATAATAATGTCATAGCAGTTGCCCCAACATTTCTCTTCTCTTTGAGAATCCACGATGGGTCATTGGAAAGAGCCCTAATGTGTGTTGCAGGAGTGTGGAGCTGATTGTGCCAAGTTCCAGAAGAGTGAGCTGGAGTACAAGTTTAATCGGAAAGCCTTGGAGAGGCCGTATGCTTCGAAGCATTCCTGGGGTAAGACGTATGGGGAACACAAGCGCCACCTGGAATTCAGCCATGCGCAGTACAAGGAGCTGCAGAGGTATGCTGAGGAGGTTGGCATCTTCTTCACTGCCTCTGGCATGGATGAGGTGAGCCCTCTGCCACTATGTCATTTGTCACTTTAACAGACTCAGAGCATAGCAGGTGGCCTGGTGGCTTTTGCCTTAGAGCCAGCGCCACAGCCCTTGCTCACTTTAGACTTTTTTGTGCTTTCTGAATCTGGAGCTCCCCATAGTGTTAACCAGATAAACACCCAACTAAACGGGAGGCCGGAGGGGGAAGAGTACCATAGTTTTCAAAACAAGTTGTCTCTGGGAGCAGGGGGCAGCCACACTGGAATCTTAGAGTCCCTCAAGCTTGTGGGAAACTCCTGCCAGGCCAGTTTCCCGCTAGTGGAAAACTCAGTTCCGACAGGTGTCCACCCCTTGCTGAGTGGCCTCGGCTGATTTGGGTGGGGTGGCATTGGCGTCATCCAGAAGGGAGTGGCCATGCTGACATCCTGGAAGAGGCTAGCTGGTGCCAGGTCTCGGGTCCCATCTGTTCTGTGTCCTGGCTTCTCAAGAGTCCTTCATGTGCTCTTTTTTAGAATGTAAAAGAATATTAATTATAAAATAATATCACAGAAAGTTTAGAAAACAGGATAAAGGGGAGAAAAAACTGACTCATAATCCCTATGTGGCAGTTCCTTTTTTTTCATTTCCTCCTGAAGTCTTTTTTATATGCATATTTTATTGCCTGGTTTTTATATTTGTGAATATTTCATTCCATGTATACTTTTCTCAGTTATCATTATACCACAAGCTTTTACCCATATCTTGTTTTTTTCCCCCCCAGCTTTACTGAGATATAATTGGCATATAACTCCTTACATCTTGTGCTTAAAGTTTCTGGTAGGGGTGTAATATTTCTTTTGAGGATTGATTGATTGATTGATTTTTCTTATATATTTCATGAAGTGATCCCCCCAATTATGCTAGCACGCATCTAGCACTACACACAGCCATTACAATAATTCTTTTGGGGATTTATAATCTACTAATTATTTCTCTACTTCTGGACATGCAGAATGCTTTTTGTGTGTGTGTTTATAAATAATACTGAGATGAACGTCTTTTTTTCTGTGTTTTGGGTTCTTTCCTTAGGATAGCTTTGCAGGAATGGATCATTAGATGAAACCTAAGAACATCTGTGTGGCTCTTGAAATATTGGAGATTCTTCTAGTCAACCAGAATATTTGAAGTGACCCCAGTTCATTCTCTAGGCCCTTGACCCTTTGAGCCATGGTTCCAATCCCAAAATGTGTCTGTAAATTGAGTCCAAAGAAACATAAATCCAGCCTATGCCACTGATAGTTTAAAAAAAGGTGGGGAGGCAGAGACCTTCGGGAGACTCGACAAGTCCAGGCTTCAGTACTGTAGCCCAAATTCATTCCTTCAGTCACAGGATTCATAAGCATAACATTCTTCAGGTATAGTTGTGCATTTTACAGTCCTAATTTCCAACTTTTGAATTATATGGTTTACCAAGTGTTTTCACATACAGTAATATATTTTATCTCTATATGCTTCAATTTACAGATGAAGAAATGGAGGCTCAGAGGGGCCGGGAAGTTTGTACAGTGTCACACAGCTGGTTTTGCCCTGGTTAAACTCTGTTCTGTTAACATTGTTCTTTCTGTTCTGGTGCTCTTTACTTCTGTAATGATGTGTTAATTATCGCTCCCGCCTACCAGACTGTTAGTCCCACCATATCCCCAGTGCCTGGCACTTTGTAGTAGAATGAATGAATGAGCCAAACAAAAGAGCTAGTGGGTTTTATCAGATCATTAAAAGGATCTGTAAGTCAAAAAAGGTTAAGTAGGAAAGAATGTGGGTTTGGGGTTAGAAAGAGTTTAAGTGTTGTTTCTGGTTCTGTCATTAACATACCAAGTGATCAAGAATAAGAATCTTTAATATTTCTTGAGTGTTTCTGATATATCAAGTTCTGTGCTAGGGATTTTAAATGTATCAACTCTTTTATTCCTCTTAACAACCTCTTGAGATAGGACGGGTGTTATCTCCATTTCACAAATGAGGATATTGAAACAGAGAGAGGGAGTCAAAAGCTACTGATCAGCAGAGGCTGCTGTGGACCCAGGGGACTCCAGCCTGCCCTCCTCACCACACTCCTCTTGCGTCTCTCCAGGCGGCCTGTTTCCTCATGGGTAAAGGGCAGGTGGATGGATTAAAAATGCCCATTGTGCAGGCTTGTCCTGTGGAGCAGGAGAGACCACATATGTAAAGCATACTTCTCAGGGCAGGACCATGTCTGTGTGTTCACCACCGTGAACCCAGATGCTGGCGCAGTGTTGGCCCATAGTATGTGCTTAGTAAATACCTTGTTGGAAGGAAGTTCATACCCAAGAAATGACATTTTTTCATTACTTGCTTGTTTCAAGCATTGTGGAGTTCAGAACCTTATGGGCTTGCTCTTTGGCAATGGCCTGTAAGACTCAGACACTCAGGGACAGCCAAGTCCTCATCCTTAGAGGGCAGGTTTGGGTTCAGGAAACTGCTGCTTGTTTTTGTGCCAAATATGAATAGACTCAAAATTCCTAGGCGAAACTTTTGATCTGAACTGACTTAGTAATGAGTCAGTAAGGATACAGATTTGTCTTTGCATGACCCATAAACAGGCTCTAGAGAGAATTTCCAAAAAAGAGTACAGAAGTATTTTGGATCCCTAGTCTTGTCTTCGGTATAAGCATATAGCCTTTCCCAGAATAATTACTTTGAGAAGTACTTTCATTTGGAGAACTAAGTCCTGAATGGTTTGTTAAAAATAATTAGCCTCAGTGGTTTAGGAACAATATAGTTGATTCCTCGGGACAGTTTTCCTAAAACCTGACCATACCTAGCATTGAATCCATCCAAAGCAAGGAGAAGTGGAAGAAATGTCATCTGGGAATTTCACTGCAGTGACAGCTAAAAACAACAATAACAAACTAAAATAACAAAAAATAAACAAACTAGTTCTCAAAGTGTGGTCCGGGAACCCATCAGGGGATTCGTGAGAACTTTCAGAAGGTTCGCAGTGTCAGAACTAGATATCTTTGTGGTACTCAAATGTCATTTGCTTTTTTCACTGTCATTCTCTCACAGTGGCATTTCCCAGAGGCTATGTAATGTGTGATGACATCATTCCTCTAGTAGTGGCTAATGAGAGGCGTTTTTTGTTTTTTTTTTTAAATAACAGTTTTATTGACCTACCATTCCAATTCACCCAATTCAAGTATACAATTAAAGTTTTTAGTACATTTACAGAGTTGCATGACAATCAACATAATTTTAGAGTATTTTTATCATTCTGAAAGGAAAAATTGTACCCATTAGCAGTCATTCCTCATTCCAGTTCTCCCAGCCTGAGGCAACCATGAATCTGTTTTCCATCTCCGTAAATTTGCCTATTCTGGACAATGCATATACGTAGAATCAGGTTATGTCAGAGATGTCAGTCTTAAAACAGAGATGTCAGTTATTCGATTTTAAGTCATTTATGTCTGGCTTCTTTCATGTAGCATCATGTTTTCAAGGTTCATCCATGCTGTAACATGTGTCAGTACTTCCTTTTTATTGCTGAGTGATATTCAGTTTTATGGATATACTACATTTTATTTATCCATTCATCAGCTGATGGACATTTGGATTGTCCTCACTTTTGGGCTAGTGTGAATAGTGCTATCTTAAACATTTATGTACAGGTTTTCATTTCTCTTGGGTATATATATGCTATCTCTTATGTTGAACATTTTTTGAAGAACTGCTAGACTTTTCCAAAGTAGCTGTACCATTTTATATTCCCCTTGGGAGTGTATGAGGGTTCCAGTTTTTCCATATCCTCATCAACATTTGTTATCTGACTTTCTGATTCTAGACATCCTAGCAAGTGTGAAGTAGTATCTCATTGTGGTTTTGATTTGCATTTCCCTGATGACTAATGATGTTGAACATCTTTTCATATGCTTATTCGCCATTTGTATATCTTCTTCACAGGACTGTCTTTTCAGATCATTTGCTAATTTTTAAATTGGGTTATTTGTCTTTATATATTCTAGATACAAGTTCCTAATCAAATATGTGCTTTGCAAAAACTTTTCCTGTTCTGTGGGCTATCTTTTCACTTTCTTGATGGTTCTTTTGAAGCATAAACACTTTTAATTTTGATGATGTCTGATTTATCTATTTTCTTTTGCACTTGTGTATGTTTGTGATTGAAAAATTTCTCAGTTTTAAAGCACAATGTGATATCACTACACAACTATCAGTATGGCTAAAATAAAAAGTGGCAATAACACCAAATTGTGCTAAAGATGTAGAGAAAATGGATCAAGCTGGTGGTAATGTGGAATGGTTCAGTTGCTCTAGAAAATAATATGTCAGTTTCTTTCTTTTTAAAAAAACAACTTTAGTGAGATATAATTCACATTACAGTTCACCCATTTGAAATGTACTGGTAGAGTCTTATAAAACTAAACACGTGCTTATCATGTGGCCCGCCAGTTGTCATTTGGTAATTTATTCTAAAAGAAATAAAACTTAGCTTCACACGAAAACCTGTATGTGAATGTTCATAACAACTTTACCTGTAGTAGCCCCAGACATTCTTTAGCAGATGAATTGTCGAACATACTAATACATTCAGACTACGGATTACTACAATGCAATAAAAAGGAATGAACTACTGGTACATGCAACAGCTTGGATGGATCTCAAGGATGTCATGCTGAATGAAAAAGCCAGTCTCAGAAGGTTGCATACTATGTGATTCTGTTATATAACATTCTTGAACTATAGAGATAGAGAACAGGTTAGTGGTTGTCAGGGATCAGAGAGGGGGCGGGGAGAAAGGTGAAAGTGACTATTATGCGAGAGCAGGAGGGAACCTCGTAGTGATGGCATAACTCTCTGTCATGACTGGTGATCATTGCGTGAGTCTGTGTATGTGGTAAAATTGCATAGAATTAAATACATGAACATGCAAATGAGTATGTAAAAATGGTGAAATCTGAATAAGATCAGTGATGCTCTATCAGTGTCACTCTTCCGGTTGTGATATTTACACTATAGTTTTGTAAGATGTTACTATCGGGGGGAACTGGGTAAAGTGTACATGTGATCTCTCTGTATTATTTCTTATAGCTGCATATGAAGCTATAATTATCTCAAAAAGTTTAAAATTAAAAATCCAAAATTCCTGTTTTAATTTTAATTTAGTAAATACAGATTGATAGAACTTATATACAAGAGCTCTGTAGAGTCCTTAGTAATTTTGAAGAGTGTAAGCACCAAAACATTTAGGTCCCCATGCTGAATGACGCATACCTAGACTGTATGGTGTGTACCCAGGCTGTGCGGCCCAGTGGTTAAGTGCATGGACTATGTGGTCAGATTTTGAGTTTGAATATGGTTCTGCCTGTTATTCCTGGTGTGTCATGTGGAGGTTATTTAACCTCTTTGTGCTCCTGTTTCTTCAGCTATAAAGTGGGTTAGTACCTGAACCCGTCTTGTGAGGTCTTTATGAGGATTAAATGATCATTCACCTAAAGCATAGCACACAGCTGGCACTCAGCGAACAGTAGCTACAGTTGAAGAAAGCAACATGGGCTGAGGGTCGGCACATCTGGGTTCTTGTCCTGCTCTGCTTTGCAATTCCCTTCCGTGCTCTGGGCCTCTATTTTTTCTTGTGTGTGTGAACTAGCCGCTGTCCAAAGGCTTTTCCGGCCTTTGTAGGGACGGAGTCATTGTAGGACCAGGGAACCCGTCACTAAGGTGACTTATGCCCGAAATGAGGACTTTCCTACTCAGTCCATGTTTCCAGGCACCCGAGCTTCCGAACGTGGATTCTGAAGGAGAGGGCACGTCCTTGCATCTGTGAGGCTGCTTAGGAAAGGTCACTTTAGGTCATTCGTTCCCAGGTGGCTTTGAGGCAAGAAGCAGGAGCCCTTGGAAGATGGAAAGGAGCATGGGCGTTGGTAGTTGGGGCTGCCTCTTGGCTTGTGCCTTTTTGATTTACCAGGAGGCACTTCGGTTTGGTGTGTAGAATGCGTGCTCTGCAGCCACAGTGAGTCCAGGTCCTGGCACTGACACTGCATGGGCTCAGGTGACTAACCTCTTTGAGCCTCAGGTGCCCCGTCTATAAAAATGGGGTAATAAAGATGCCCACCCCGCCGGGCTGTGGTAGGATTCAGTGAGAAGCCTGTGAGGTGCCAGGGCAGCCCAACACCTGCATCCACTGAATGATAGCTATTCTGTTACTTAGAACCCTTTGGAGTTTTTCTGCTTCATACTATCCGGGCAAGGAGATCCCTCTGTCCTAAGAATGCTATTTATTTCCAGCTAGTCTCTTGACTGACTTGAGAGGGAATGCATCCTTAAGAGTCTTTACAAGAGTTAATTTGCTTTGCCAGCCAGGTTCCTCTTCTGAACCAGCATATCCTATCTACCCACCTGCCGGAAGCGGGTTGGTCCATTGTTTTGCATTTACGTGGCAAGTAGCTCTGGGTATTTATCGACCCTAACTTCCTTATGGACAGTAGGCATTTACTGAGTGCCTGTTTTCTCTACTGTGCATGCTCTCCTGGGTGTTCTTTGTTTGCTAAGGAAAGGTTAAGGTGTGGCAGGATTTTATTAGGCCAAGAAGACTATCAGGGCATCTGGGCAAAAGCTGCACAGTGACACGTGGAACTCTGCTGAGACGAGCAGAATGCCTTTGTTCTAAATGGAGAGTTTTATTCAGAAAGCCAAGGGAAGCCATGACCATCGAGGTGGCCCCTGAAGGACATGCTGCCCTCACACACAAATGGGGCATCCCACCAGAGCTGGCCGTCACTCCCAGTGCCTGCCTCCGCTGTGCCCTCTCCTCCTCCCTTTTCGTTTGCCACCACCACAGCAGGGGGCCTCCTGCCCAGGCTGTGGTGCAGTCTGACAGGGACACTGGGCTGAGGGCAGGCCCAACCTTCTTTCGGCTCCATGCTTCCCCGCCATCATTCCTCACCCTTGGCAGTGCTCCAGCACTCAGTCTTCTCCCAGCTCCTCACTGTAGGTTTCTTTTCCTTTCCCTCCAGGACCCAAAAACTGAGGGGAATGGAAGGGGCTTTAGAAGAACCCCAGCTTCTCTCTTCTGTTACCCCTTAGATCAGTGAGCCCCAAAGTTTCTCATAGGACATTATACAGAAATGGGCACACATTGTTAATTCTCATTAATTTATTTAGAATCAGTAAAGCTCATCCCCCCGAATAAACAAGGATTCTGGGTTGAATAACTTTGGGAAACACTGGGGTGAAAAAGCTAGACAAGTGTATTTACTAGGACCCTGTAAGAGGGAGGTCTGGCAATGCAGGGTTTCACCCAAACCAGTTTGCTGGTGTATTTAACTCGGGTGGATTCCCAGGGAGGGTCATACTGGCTGAGTTACTTTCAGGCTGACTCCAAAAGGCATTTTGCTATGGAGTGGGAAGGAGAAGTTTAGAGGCCGCCAGGCAGCGTTCATCCCTACATGGAAAGGGGATGGACAGCTGGGTGGGCAGGGCTAGGGGAAGCCAAGGAGTCCACAGAGAGAAAGGGGCCACAGGCGCCGATGCAGCCTGAGGAGGCTGGGCACAGACCTGAAAGGCTAACTAGCATTGTGCTCATGACTGAAGTTGGCACCCTGTGCAAAGATCAATATGAAATGACAGTTTTCAAAATGGCCACTAGGTGGGGCTGCTTCCCCAGGACTGCAAAATGATCTAGTCAATCCTTTCGGAGCAGGAATTTGCCCCTTTTTTCTCCTCGTTTGAAAAGTGTAGATTTTACAACCCCTGTGGGTAAGCTTTTGAGAAGTATTTTTTCCGCATTTGTTCCTTCCTTGCCCCTGCTCACTTTGTACCTTTCCCGAGTGAGCTCATATATCTATGCATGCTCTTGGAGACTTTTGCATCGTAAGCCACTCTCACAAATCGAAAACTATATAGGAGAAAACTTAGCATAGAATTTTCCCTCTGAAAATAGAAAACACTCTATCTGCCAGATAAAGTGAGAGAGGTGGGAAAGTTTGACTTTGTTCAATCAGTATATTAAAAACGAATGTTTTTCAGTTCCATTCTAGGGCTGGTT